TTGATCGACAAGAGATGGTGAATTTTAAAATATAAAAATACTTATCAATCAATAAGACCCGCAGGAACTAAATATCACTACAATTTCTCTCAACAAAAAAAGTTAATTATGCTTGAAATCTGATTGATCGTTGTAAAATTTTATAGACATGGAAATTCGGAATTGTCTCCTGTCCGAAAAGGATAATATCCAAAAAAATCGCGTAAAAATGTGATATATTAACATTTTCATTTTGACTTTTGAAATGTACAATAGTAATGTTTTATTTTGCATGATTGGTTTCCATTTTGACTTACTTTTTTCTAATGTACATTTGTAGTGTTTTTTATATTTTATTTTTGAATTTCTTGAGAATTGAAATTGATGGCGGGTTACATGGAAGTGTAGATGATATCGAAATAATTTAACGCGGCCAAACCAAAGTTAAAAGACAATTAATTTTTCAAAATCGCTAAAAAATCACGAAAAAGAGATCTCATTGCAAAAACTCTGAAATCGGGAAAAAATCGTAAAAAAATTCAATGGAAACGAATTTTAAAATAATAGTACATTCTATTGACAAACTTAGTAAGGATCTTTAAACACGTGCTGTAAAAAATCAGCGAACAAGTTGAAGATATTTTCAATTTGTTATTCTTCTTTTGTCAATTTTTTTTCAATTTGTATTATCATATTGAATTCAGTGAATTTTTTGTGAACAAAATAAAGAATAATTTTTCACTACATGCAATTTTTCACCAAAAAAATGAAATAAGTGCGAAATAGGATGTTAACTGACATCTACCTTTCAACTCCAGGGCCTACATCGTGGTTCAGCTGGAAGATGCGAACACATTAAAACAAACAAAAATGACCGAAAAAGCCTAATGTGGCTCATTTAAAAGCGTGGTCCTACTTCTTTCATGTGACAATAATCCGTCCACTGAGAGCTCAAAATGCAAAATTCTTTGGGAGTACAATCCGTAAAATGCCAAATTTAAAGGGTGCAAAATAGTAGAGCGAATGGGATTTTTAATAAGAAAAGGATTTCTATCCTTCCACAAATTCTTTCCAAACATTCAAGATACCTTAAATCGTGATATCGATCATAACTCACGGATAAGGATACAACCCGATTTCATATTAATATATCCATCGTATGATTTAAGCTATTTTTGGGGTCTTGGTCACTTTTTTCATTTTTTGGCTCTTATTTGGCATCTTTGTTTGTAAGGGGGTAGAGAACCTCTTGGATTTGAAAATTTCAGACTAGGGCCCATATTGGTCTTGACCACATTCATCAATTGATTTGGCTAAAAAATTGTGTTTATGCTACCCTGGGGTAGGGAACCATCATACAGATAATTGCCACATAGGAATTTATTTAAGCAAAGTCCCCACATTGGAGTATCACCAAGTCCACCATCACATCTAATGTGTGGTCAGAAAAGAAAATTTTGTATTATATTGAATTTGTAACCCCCAAGAGAATATTGGTTGGGAACGTAGATTTAGGAGGTACATCTATATGAAATGAATTGTGGAAACATGAACAAATTACAAATATAAGAAAGTAGCACGAGACCGAATATTTGTAGAATCGTCATTGAATTATACTATGAGGGAAAATATGTACCTTATGAGTTCTCCAACTTACAATTTAAATGGCAAATAAAATTATTTCCCATCTTACGGTAATGGGTGTAAAATTGTATTTATATTTGACTATTCTGAAATCAATCTGCCCTCAATTATGAGGTGGATAAAACTATTTTTACTCACTTAAATCACGCGAAATTTTTTTCAGTTTGACATACTATGTTGTTCTGCTATATTATTGATGAGGCCTCTATTTCTCATCTTGGCTTATAAGGGATAGAAGAAAGCTTTAAATGTAGGTCGATGTTTCGGAGTAGTGCCCATATAGAGGTACCTCCTGATTTTACCATATTTCAAAGGATTTGGCTATAAATGTGTATTTGGGGGATGAAAATCTTACATAAAAATTTCAATATGTCTACAAATTTTATAATTTTCTCCATGTAATAGTACCCCCTCAGGTCCACCTTTTGGCGAACAAACAGACCGACATGGTTAGGGGACCTTATAAGGACTCTAATGAACAATCTAAGGTGTTAATGGGTTTAAAAAAGTAATTTGGCTTTGGCTATTCATAAATCATTCAGCCTTCAATTATGAGGTGTACAAAATACGATAAATTCCAAATTACTGCTCATTTGACTGGAAAATTTTGTTACGATTTTTACCATACTAAAAATTAATTGATCCCTTACATGAGGATAAGATTGATATATGCTTTTTAAAAGATTTGTATAGCACATCCACACATTTGAAGCCCAAGATTTAAATATTGAAGCCCACGGCTTAAATATGGGTATAGGTATTTTAAAACACTTTTAATCGATCAGTACGTGAACTCTTATATCACTCATATCTGTTAATAATTATGCTTGGACAAATATGCATAGTAGACAAAAACTACGGGCCGGCAACGCGGACCGGGCCAGCTAGTATATTATATTTGCTTTATATTGCGGAACCTCATAGTATCCGGTATTTCACAGCATTTCAATTTTGATTCCCACTAAATGGAAATTTGCCATACGAAAGTAGTAGGTCCACGTTTCGATAAAAACTCCATATAGCTGCATCAGTCATATTAGTTTCCTTAGTTTATTGGAGTTCGGATTAGAGTTGTTATTTGGATTTCGTCACGCGTGCAACTTCCTGTGACAGTAAATGACCTATAAAGATCGACATTTTCGCGAATCCCCATATAATTGTAACTCTCTAAATTCGATACTTTCTAGATTTAAGCCTCATTTTTCAACAGAATCAAATAAAAATGGTTTTTTATACCCTCCACCTTGGAAAGGAGGGTATATTAACTTTGTCATTCCGTTTGTAACATGTATAAATATTTGTCGTAGACCCCATTATGTATATATAGTCATAATCAGCATAAAATTCTAAGTCGATTTAACGATGTCCGTCTGTCTGCCCGTCTGTCTGTCTGTTGAAATCACGATACAGGCCACATTATTTGACGTAGAGCGTCAAAATTTAGCAGAATAATTTGTATTGTGTCTAGAATGGTTGGTATTGAAAATGACATATATCGGTCTACGTTTTGGTACAGTCCCCATATAACAGTACTCGGTATACTCGGTATTTTGATTATTGTTGCCACATTTTTTCATGGATTTGTCTAAAAATTGGCATTTGTTGGTCATAGTGGGTTCTAGCTCCGGTGGCGAAACATTGCATGTATAGGTCCACGTTTTGGTATAGCCCCCATATAAAGGTACCTCCCGATATTCGGTTTTTTTGATGATTTTTGCCACATTTTTTCATGGGTTTGTCTAAAAATCTCCGGTGGCGAAATATTGCATTTATAAGTCCACTTTTTTTGATGACTTTTGCCACATTTCTTCACGGATTTGTCTGAGAATTGGTATTTTTAGGTCATAATGGGTCCTAGTTCGTGTGACGAAACATTGTATGTATAGGTATAGCCCCATATAACGGTATCTCCCGATATTCGGTATTTTGATGGTTTTTGTCACATTTTTTCACGAATTTGTCTAAAAATTGGAATTAGTTGGTCATAATAGGCTCTAGCTTCGTTGGCGAAACATTGTATGTATAGATCCACAGTTTTGTATAGCCCTATTTAGCGGTAACCCCGATATTCCGTATTTTTATGATTTTTGCCACAGTTTCCCACGAATATGTCTAATAATTGGTATTTGTGGGTCATAATTGGTTCTAATGTTTCCATTACTCTAAGGTGGAGGGTATTAAAAGTTCGGCCCGTCAGAACTTAATGTTTTTTTACTTGTTAAGTTCGCAATAGGCACCGACTTCTCTGACAGGCGATTACATTTGCAGGACCACTCATTCGCACAGTCGCCATTAAACTGTCTGGCATTTTTCAACAGAATTTTTTGAAATTTGGCAAGTTCCCTCTAAACGATGGAGGTTCGAATGAACTTAGCTGCTTTTTCCTTGTTAGCTCTGCTGTCATATAATATTGTAATTCTTTTGTTATAAAAAATTTAAATTTTGATGCACAGCGTTAGTTTCAAATTGTCGATAACCCGAATCTGATTAATTAATTAGATCAACTGGAACATTTTCAAAAATATATGTTACGAAATAAATACGGTGTTCTCTGGTATTAACGTTACCTTTTATGCATTCCAGAGACATCAATTTCTGACACTTTCCATTGAAACTCTTTCCCTTTTTATACCAAATGTATCTTCTAATTACGTTGTATGGAGTCTATTCGATATCGTGGGCCTATATAGGCAATTCTCTTTCAGGGGGTAGAGTACTCAAAAGAAACTCCTTACGTAGAATTTCAGACAATTCCATTGAAAAATTTGGCTAAAATCATCAACATTCCGAATATCGGGAGGTATCATTATATGGGGGCTATGCGAAGACGTGAACCTATATACCAAACTTTTTGTCATGAGCTGTAGTACCTATTACGAGCTTCAAATATGAAATTTGAAAAAATACCGGTAGAAAAATAGCTTAAATCATGAAAAATCGAATATGGGGGTACCGTTGTATAGGGGCTATACGATATCGTAGACCTATATAGGCAATTTTCAGACAATTCCATTGAAAAATGTGGCTAAAATCATCAAAATGGGTAGCGATGGGTACCCTTATATGGGGGCTATACGATATCGTGAACCAATATGGCCCATCTTCGAACTTGACCTGCCCGCAGACAAAAAACAAACCTGTGCAAAATTTTAGCTTCCTATCTTAATTCGTTTTGACTCTAGCGTGATTAAAACTGACGGACAGACGAATGGACCGACAAGGCTTAATCGTCTTTGTTAGGTCTAAGATTATTATTTCGATAATTAATATACCCTTTATACCCTTTTATGTATGGTATAAAAAGATATCATTTCAATAACATTGACTTCGAAGGAGAAGCTCTGAGATAAATCAATATTTTCTATTTTATGTCTTACCTCCTTCTTGTGCTGACTATTTCGCGGTGGTAGAACATCAAAAATTTTTGTACTCCCATCCAGATACTCTTCGCAATGATGATACTGTTTGACGATGACATATTCGGTTGTCAATTGCGCTGCGCTGCTAATGCCAGGTGGAAATGGCAAAGCTGTAGCCGGAAATCTGCTACCATTCGGACATGACGACGCTGTCCTCGCCGTTGATGTGGTTGTAGCTGGATTTTGCTTTATTTTACAATTTTCTTCTTTGGTATTTTTTGGCATTGATTGATTGAAATTGTTCGCAAGGCCAGAGTTGGCCATGGTATTGCTGTGGCAGTTGTTAAAATCCATTGCCCTACTGGTTTCGCAATTGTTCTCGATGATTTGGTTATCCTTAGAGTCATTTGGTGTTTCCAAAGTATATCCGCGCCCATTGTCATCTGCAGCAGACGCACTCTTTCCATCACTTTGTCCATTTTGATAATGCAATAGAGCCCAGATGAGATCCGAACATGTCGTTTGTGCATCGACACCGGCTATCCAATGCTTTTCTCCATCAATCCAAATCGAGACATTGTCTGAAAGTGTTTCCAAAGAGACCAATGAATCATCGTCGTCGTCATCATCATCATCATTATGATCACCATCGTTGTCCTGCTGATTGCTGCCCCCATCAATGTCAATATTGCCCAGGCAATCCTTGACATTCTCATGTTGACTGTTTCTATTTGAAATAGTTTGATGTCTCATGTTTCCATGGGATATATCAATGGAACGTTGTTTTAAGACCGGACGACCTGAGAAATGGAAGGGAGCTGGTGCCAATGATTGCCCTGGATTAGATCCCTCAAAGAGTTGTTCATCTTCGATATCGATGACAACAATATCACAGTTATTGGTGTGTGTGTTATTTCCATGGTTGTTGTTTTCGTTCAAACATTTGTCCATAGACGATGCTTGTTGTTGCTGCTGCTGCTGCTTTTGTTTACCAGTTATCACTTCGTCGCCATGGACCGAGTTGAACAAATTTCCACTTTCATCGAGATTACTCAAAGACATCGTTGCTCTTACATTGTTCTTGGCTTTCTTGTTGTTTTCGTTTTCGTTTTCGTTGTCATTGTTGGTGTTGTTAGAGCTTTGGAAACGTTGACGTTGAAGTTGCATTAATTGTATTTGCTGTTGGACATTGTTGTCAATTGTGTCATAGTCCTGATACCATATTCCATGGGCATATGCTTTTATAGGATTTTGTCGACACCCAGCCTTATCCGTATGATAGTCATTAACTTTATTGTTGCCACCTTCAGGACATGATTTGCTATCGGCATTTCTGTTGCTGTTGTTGCTGTTGTTGCTTTTGTTGTAATGGTTATTGATTTGAGTTGAGGAAATCGCATTCGACAGCGTCGCTGTTGCTTTTGCCGTTGTTGTCGATGATGATGACGACAGCTTTGATGTAACAACCGCCGCCGTGTTCAATGGACTCGATATTCTGTTTTGATGTTCGCTATTATTCGCATTACTGATATGGTCGAGAGCCTTATTGGTCATAATTGTCAACACAGATAGAATGTATTCGTTGGGCTTGGGGGGGTTTAATTCCTCTTTTGTGCAATCTACTACAGGGCAGTAACTAAGTCAACTCCCATGTGGTGTTGCCGTTTTTCCTTTCAATTGTCAATTGCTGTCCTTGGTTACATCAATCGTTGAGCGAAAGTAAAGCGTTGGTATTGCACAAAGGCAAATATTCTTCAATTACTTTGTTGAGGGGGGTACTTTAATTCTGGAATGGAAATAAAGAGGCAATTGGATTAAGTTTTCTTTTTATGAAGAAAATTATTTGTGTTTTTGTATTTGATTTGTGTTTTAAATGACATACGCTTCACTTCACTTTCCTTTTTTTTTTTTTGGTTCTATATGCATTCAAAACTTTATCTACAACCAGTAAAGAAAGTCCTAAAGTAGGGGGGGGGGGGGTGGGTTGGGTTTAGATTTTATGATACCCTACACCACAATGCTAATTTAGTTAAGCTCCACATAACAATTAAAAGTTTTTAAAGGAGAATTCAATCCTACACCCTATGATTATAATTATAAATTAAAATAAATATGGCGAAACATTTGTATCTTTTAAATTCGGACGAAGTTACATATGGGAGCTATATCCAAATCTGAACCGATCTCGATAAAATTTAGTAACTATGGGTCTCTCCCGCTTCCTTCTCCATGTTACAAACAAATGCACAAAGATATAATACCCTGCCACTATGTGGTGTAGGGTATAAATATTTGGTGATTAAAAAAACAAAGCAAATTCAAGAGTTTAACAAGTAAAAAAGCAGTAAGTTCAATACCCTCCACCATTTAAAACGAATTAGAAAATTTTCAAAAAAATAAAATCCATTAAAAATTATTTTTTAAAATCTTTAAAATGTCTAATATAGGAAGGTGCCGATATATGGGGGGATATACGATATTGTGGACCTATAAGACAAATCTATGTCTGCGTGTAAAGTACTCACAAGGATGGATTTTCAGACAATACGATTGGAAAATGTGGCTAAAATCATCAAAATGCCGAATATCGCGTGGTACCGTTATATGGGAGCTATACGTTATCGTTAACCTATATAGAAAATTCGCTGTCGGGGGATAAAGTGCTCACAAAGAACCCCTTGTGTACAAAGAACCCCTTGTGACCATTCCGTTGAAAAATATGGCTAAAAACATCAAAATACCGAATATCGGGGGTACCGTTATATGAGGGCTATACGATATCCCTGCCGAGGTATAAAGTACTCACAAGGAACTATTTGTGAGGATTTTAAGACAATTCCATTGAAAAGTGTGGCTAACATCATCAAAATACCGAATATCGGGGGGTACAGTTATATGGGGGATATACGATATCGTGGACCTATATAGATAATTCTCTGCCGAGGTATAAAGTACCCACAAGGAACTCCTTGTGTGGATTTTCAAACAATTCCGTTGAAGAATGTGGGTAAAATCATCAAAATACCGAATATCGGGGGGTACCGTAATATGGGGGATGTACGATATCGTGGACCTGTATAGACACTTCTCTCTCAGGGGGTAAAGTACTCGCAAGGAACTACTTGTGTGGATTTTAAGACAATTCAATTGAAAAATGTGGCTAACATCATCAAAATACCGAATATCGGATGTCCGTTATATGGGGGCTATACGATATCGTGGACCGATATAGCCCATCTTCGAGCTTGACCTGCCTGCAGACAATAGAGATATCTGTGCAAAATTTTAGCTTCCTATCTTAATTCGTTTAGACTGTAGCGTGATTACAACAGACGGACGGACAGGGCTAAATCGTCTTAGAATTTTACGCTGATCAAGAATATATATACTTTGTTGGGTCTAAAATGATTATTTCGATGAGTTACAAACGGAATGACGAATTTAATATACCCTCCATACTTCTTTTGGTGGAGGGTATAAAAACCTATTTATTATAATGCTTTAGGATATATATTTTTATATCCTCCAACTTGGAATGGAGGGTATATTAACTTTGTCAATATACGTCGAAGACGCCATAGAGTATATATTCATAATCAGCATACAATTCTAAGTCGATCTAACAATGTCCGTCTGTCTGTCTGGCCGTCTGTTGAAATCACGATACAGCCCACATTATTTGACGTAGAGCGTCAACATTTAGCAAAAAAAAAATTGTATTGTGTCTAGGATGGTTGGTATTGAAAATAGGATATATCGGTCCACGTCTTGGTATAGTTCCCATATAACGGTACCTCCCGATATTCGGTATTTTGATTTATTTTTTATCACATTTGTTCACGGATTTGTCTAAAAATTGGTATTTGTAGGTCATAATGGGTTCTAGTTCGCGTGGCAAAACATTGTATGTACAGGGCAAGATGAAAAAACTGCAACCATCTTCAGACTGCTATCATTTCTAAGCCACTCGTCCGACAGCTGTTAAAATTATTCCAGTCACAGCTCATTATATTGTTTGCAAGCGTACAAAAGCATTTTGGTGAATTTTCCATATAACAGTACCTGCCGATATTCGGTATTTTGATGATTTTTGCCACATTTTTTCGCGGATTTGTCTAAAAATTAGTATCTAAAAAATAGGAAATCTTTTCAAGTTAAATGATATTGTTGCAGATATTGGAGGGATTCTAGATAGCGTGTTTGGTGCATCAAATACACAAAATCGGATCTAAAATGTATATAGAAAATATATCCCCATCTGAACAGATTTCAATATAATTTTACAACAATATAGCCTATGTTACTTTCAGGGGATGCTGCAGTATTTTTGGGAATTCTCAGTAAACTCTGTTTAACAGCTTCTGAGTCTATAAATTACAAACAACAAACATATAGAAATGTAATAATTTTTGGAAAATGTTGATGAAGTACCGGATATAGTGGACCGAAGTGTTCCAATTCATCTAATATTGAAAAAAATTCTGGGATGTGCAAAAATTTAATTAATTGAAGATTTATTTCCAATTTGGTACGAAGACTTGCTAATAAAAATGCCGATAAACCCTACATTTATATCAGATCTATGGTTGAGAGTAATATTTAGATATGCCAAATCTGAATAGTATCGCTGACATGTTTCGCAAGTTATAAGAGATATAAATACTGAATGTTGTGACCCTTTGTGGTGAAGGTACCAGAAGGGGACGGCGGACATATACCATCTTCACATCAGGTCTTGTGTTAATAAAAATACTGAGATGAGTGAAATTTGAAGAGAATCGGCATCTAATTCCATATTGTGTGATGGTTTTATTATTCAAAAATTTGACTCCTCTGTAGGGGAGATACCTGCAGGTGTGGTCCGATATAATCCATTTTCACACATGATCTTTTGCTGGTAGCAATACTGGGATGCGCAAAGTTCGAAATGATCGGATGCTTATTTTATGAGGTTCATGGTTATTCAAAATGTTGACCCCTTTCTGTCTTCATACCAAATCTTGCGCCGGTAAAAATATTTAAGTCTATGAAAATTAAAGAGAATCGAATGCTTATTTCGCATTTTATGAGATATATAATTATTCAAAATATTGACCCGTTGTGGGAGAGGTGCCAAAATCTTCACCCAGATCTTGTGTTAATAAAAATATTAAAATGTATAAAATTTGAAGACAATCAGACTCGTATATCTTAAAATAGTTATAATTATTCCAAATGTTGACCCTTTGTGGGAAAACTACTTGATTGAGTTGGCCGAAATTGTCAATTTTCGCACCTGACTTAGCACTGACAAAAATCTTGGAAACGTACACTCCCTTCTAGAAGTATCGTGCGCCAGACATACGAACGGACAAATGTCCTGAAACGGATTTGATCCAAAGAGAGCTGGGGTCTAAAATGTTATGAGGCCAGATTTGCCGTATCAAATGATATATACCCTTTGTAGCCATATGGCTGAGGTGATAAATACCTAGAGCTCATTATTTCAATAGAACTGCGAAAATTAAAAATTACAAAAACAACATTTTCTTATTGTTCTACACAATGAAAGACATAGTCGGGCTGGATCGACTTTATGATACCCACTTTTCATATATACAAAATCGGACCAAACATACATATGGTACCCATAGCTATATCTTAACTGATTTTCACCAAATTTGATATACATTCTTCCAGGCTAAATTCGTTCGTATGTGCCAAAATCCATTCAATTCGAGCTATTATTAACCATTTGCTGCACAATTAACGTGAAATTGGATGTAGACATATATGGGAGCTATATCCAAATCTGAACCGATATCGATAACATTTGACAAAGGTATTTCTGAGCTGTATTTGATATATTTCTCCGAATATCGTTGTTACGGAGTGTGTATTATGGCTGTGGAGGAGAAATTTCTTAAATCGGATGAAGAAGATATACGAAAGTTTTAGCTATACCTGAACTGATTTCCACAAAATTTGTCACACTTGTTTCTAGGCTCAATTTAGTTATATGTGCCAAATTCCTTCTAATTTGGGGTAATATTACACATTTGATCGGACATGCATAAATCGACTTAAAATGTGATTCTATGCAGATCATCAAAAGGAACTATAGGTCTAACTCTCTTCCTTATCTATGCTACAAACAAATGAACAAAAACATACTACCCTGACCATAGTGTGGTGTAGGGTATACGAAGTGTATTCAGGTGATTTCTACATCCTGCATCTTATATTATTGTACCGTGACTCAAACCTTGAAAATTGTTTGTTATGGCAAATTTATTACTAAACTTCATCAAATGTTTCCAATATATTTTCTTTAATTTATGGTCGTTAAAAATACTACTTAGAATGCTATAAATTAAGTTGTTTTTTCCGAACTAGATGTCCACTTATATATGTATGTACACTCGTCATACACACAGGTTTGACAGAAAGCGTAACACCTGTCGTATTCACCATTGATGGAAAAAAGGAAACCAAACTACAATAACAACAGCGCAAGTCTCGTCCTTTGGCCGATCATAAGGTGTGACCGGTAAATCTACTATCTCCATCAATGGCGAGGGTTTCTTTTTGAACTTTAGAAGGAATTCATCCGAAACAATTCGTCAGAATAGCTCTTAATAAAATTAAATGTAGAAAAAAAACTAAATGTCAAACTTTTATCGCAAATGAAATTTATATCCGCATTATTTTGTTCGCCTTTAAAGCAAAAAGCATGATTTAGATGATTGTATGTATGTTGGCGAACCAAATTTTTTTTATTTAGTTGATAATGTAGAGTT